CTGGGTTGTTGAAAGTCCTAGTTGCAGACAGCATTCCTATATGAAATGTAGATATTAAATTAGATTGAAGAAACTTTTGGAAGATTTAGATTTGGATAAACTTACACGACGTTGTATCCAGTATATGCTGTGTCCTTGCAGGTCAGTAGCCAGTCTCTGAAATAGTTCTGGACTCATCCGGAACCGTCTTTCAAATAAATGGCGTGGATACAACGGCGATTTGACAAAGTAATCCTCTTGAAGAAGTTTATCGGCAGCAATTCGATCGCGTTGAATCCGTGCACGTGTGTTCTGATGGCTGGGTGTAGATGGATTGTTGATGAGATCCATGATCAACTGATCATAATCTTCATCTTTGAGTTCTTCATCAATTGATTTCAAGTGTTGTTCTAAAACAGACGATGCGTCCATTGAGAAGATGATTTGAGTTTGGGCTTCAAAAAGAATTGTGTAGCCTCAAACTAAAGCCAACGGTTGTGGGCACAGTCTGTATATTTGGATTAACTAGGATTAACTCCATCCTTACAGACAACGACTGTGGGAACTGGCTTTAGTTTAGTTGACCCTGACTAAAGATCTCTAAGTTTACCCACGCTAAAGCCAAATTTGACGCCAACGATTGGAGATGCTCTTACAAACTTATATTTACCTGAACTTTTGATCGGTCCTACTCCTGGTATGCAAACTGTTTTTTCTCTCTTTGAGTTTGATTTGATCTAAACTTATTTGGTTTTGTTTTTGTTTTGGTCTATTTTCCCCTGTTTTGTTTATTTTGTCTGTTTGGATTTGGGTTTTTTGGGGTTTTTATAGTTAGAGATTTAGATTCTCAAAGGTTTGGAACTCATGGAATTCTTTCTACAAGTTTATTTGAAAGAGCAGGTAAGATTGGAAATCCATTTTATCATACTAGTCTTGATTTGATTGGTAAACCGGGTTATGATCTGGTTCAAGTTCTTACAATTGGAAAAGCTTTGGTATGTTTTTTTTCTGGAAGTTGTGAAGTTATTTTTTGATGGTGGGATGGAGTTTGGTGACTGATTTTTGGTTTTGGGGGGTTTTTGGGTGGACTTTAGTATGCTACTGTGCTTGAATTGGTGCTTTGAGTTTTCTTTGGGAATGGGTTGGGGAAGTTTGGATGCAAAAAAATTCAGTTTTGGTTCTTTGGCACGATTCTTATTCTTTTCATTATCATTATCATTCTCATTATTAGTATGGTTATTGTTGCTGTTGTGGTGGTGGTGGTGGTGATTGTACTCTGAAAATAAAAAGTGTATCATCATTTTCCTCTTTGTTGTTTGTTTTGTAAATTGTGATTAGTAAATCAACAAAAAGAGAAAAAAATGATTTAACACAAATCTTTTTATGTTTTTTCAGTTTTAATGAACAGTTTTTGTATATACAGTCAATCTAGATTAGCTTGTCCGAGCAGATTTTATTTATTTATTTTTTACAGCAATACAGGTAAATCTATAAGCATAAACATATGATTCATATGCTTATGTTTGTCTGGTCATGAGTCAGACCAACCACTGCTGACCACAGTCAACAGCGCTTCACTATTATGAACCTTCAGCACCGTACTTTCATCCTACACGCATCGATCCCATATTCCATTTCAGCCAAGGACCTCTAGTGTGAGCTTGACCTTGTCTTCTAGGCTTTGAATTCAATCTCTTTACTTCAATTCACCCCTCTAAGCTTCGATTTGGCCCTCTGCGTCTTCGATTCAACCCTCTATGTCTATTTGAGTCTCTCGGTTTTGAAATCTTGGCTTTGATGCAAGTGAAGGGCTGTCTTTAGCCTCGTGTTCTCACTTTTGAATCCCTTCTTAGGCTC